AGCATTTGCCGTGCGTGCGAAGGCTTCTTTGCTGTGGAGCTGCATAAAGAACAGCCTTTCATCCTACCTTGCTTATTCTGGGGTATACTTACAATGGTAAAATTGTATTATAAAATGGGGTTTTCCATTCCAACCATAGTCAAATAGACTATTTTTTTTTTCTCTGAGAATGAATCTATATTTCTTTATAATTTTCCAGTAATATTTTTTCTTGTATGGGTTTTTTTGTCATTGTGAAAATGAGGAAGACAAAATTTCATCTGTACTACTTTCTGTGATGAGTACAGAAATAGGGTATATAAGATATTGTGATGAGAGTTATGTTCAGCCACTAATTCTTGGAAATTCCTCATTTACAGTTGAATTTTCAGAAATATGTCATGATACAGCAGAAAACAAACTTACATTGTTTTATTTGGTAAAGCAATTTTTAAATGTAAGATTATTTAACTTATATTCCTGAAAACATTACTTTGCAGTTAAGTGCTTAACCCCCAGTCTGTGACCACATAATTATGCCAGAGTTCAGAGCTTACTACTATGCAAACGGTATACAATACTTTTAATGCATGGTATCAATTCAGTTGCTTTATAGATTACAGCTTTATTACCAAAAAAAAACCCTCTGAATTGTTTGCTTAAACACAAGTTGTATAAATAAATCTTGCAAATTACTTGTGACAAGAGTTTGCTTGGGGTTTTATCATTCTGATTTTTTTTTTTTTTTTTTATTTGAGAACATGCCCTGCACAAGTGAAATAGGGAAAGATGCAGGCATTGATTCTTGTGCAAGCGTTCCTCATAAATCATACTCCAGCTGTCTTGGACATAAGGATGAACTGTTAATCACACCAGACTGGTACACATCATGTTATGACAGAAGGGACACAATGTTGACATTTCAGTGGAAGTTTGATTTAACACTTTCTGAAGAGCTCTTACTTTGCAAATTGATGTAAGCAAGCCACTCAGCTATTTAACAGGCTGAGGTGGGGAAAAGAGCAGAAGGAATATACAGAACTAAGGTTACTGTGTCCACTGCATTTTGTGCACTTAGAGGTAAATTCAGATGGCTCTCTGTCTCTGCCCTGGGCACCTTCCACTCAACCAGACTGCTCAAAGCCCCATCCAACCTGGCTTTGAACACTGCCAGGGCTGGGACAGCCACAACTTCTCTGGGCAGCCTGTTTCACTGTCTTGCTCAGTCACAGTAAAGAACTTCCTCATGTTTAATCTAAACCAGCAGGAAGAACCCACACAAGCAGTCCTGCCAAGGTGAGAGATCAGCCACTTGTAACAAAACCAGCAATGAGAAGGAAAACCAGCAATGAGAAGGAAAACCAGCAAGTTCTGGTTGTTGGGAATTCCTTCCTCTGTGGAACAGAAGTACCCCTTTTTGAAAAAGAGGGCCAGACCCTCTTTTCAGGGACCCAAATTAGGAATGCCACCACAAGTTTGAAGAACACATTTCAACCTTTAGACTACTATACATTTCTGCTCTTTCGCATAGATACAAATGATGTTGAAATAAAAACTCCGAAATCCATCAAAAGAGACTTCAGAGCCCTGGGAAGAATGCTAAAAAATTCAGGAGCACATGTACTGTTTTCCTCAATCTTCTCAGTAATGGAGAGAGGCTTCAGAAGAAACAGGTAAGCCTAGGATACTTGGCTTCAGGACTGGTGTCTCCACCAAAACTTTGGGGGTTTGACATGGATGAGCCTTTGAGAGACAAGGTATGTTGGGGCCTGACAGGATCCACCTGTACTGATGGGGAAAACGGGGTTTTGGGAATAAACTGGCAGGTCTGATCAAGAACTAGGACTTATGGGGGAAGCAGATGCCATCAGGACTGCAGTAGGTAAGCCGAGAGTTGGCATGGTATCACCACAGGGTGGCAATCCCAGTGGGACTATTTATACCGCTCCTGGGAGTGCAGAAAGCTCAGAAGCGTATCTGAAATGCTTGCACAACAGTGCACACAGTATGAGAAAAAAATGGGATGAATAGAAGTGTTGGTGTTGTGGTTTAAGCCTAGCTATCAAATAAGTACCACACAGCTACTTGCTAATACCTCTCCACCCCCAAGTAGGATGGGAAGAAGAATCAGAAAATATAACCATTGGGTTAAGAACAGTTTAATTATTGAAATAAATTAAAATATAATAATAGTAGTAGAAATACTAAGATGAAAAACAGACAACCCCAGAAAAACAAGTAATGCACAATACAATTGCTCACCATCTGCTGACCGATACCCAGCCCATTCCCAAGCTGTGATGAGTATCTCCTAGCCAATTCCCCCCAGTTTATATATGGGGCATGATGTGCTGTGGTAGGGAATACCCCTTTGGATATTTTGGGTCACGTATCCTGTCTCTGCTCCCTCCCGGCTTCTTCTGCCCCTCCTCACTGCATGAGAGACTGAAATGTCTTTGATTGGGATAAGCATTACTTAGTAACAACTCAAACATCAGTGTGTTATCAGCATTGTTCTCAGACTAAAGCTGGAATACAGCATTGCACCACGTACTAGGAAAAAAAATAACTCCATCACAGTCAAAATAAGTTGGTCAGCTGCTGGAGATACAATTTCATTTGATATTGGTGAGACTTGGAAAGAGTTCCTTCCAATTGAAACATTATTCTGTTCTTTGAATGCCAGATGCCTTTGCTTTCAGCAAATAGTTTTAACCTGTTGTAAACACCAAATGGTCAGTCTTGGCACTGGGGTAGCCTCAGCTTTCAGAAATAGGAAAGTCTTTCTGTGATGCTAGTGGGTCCTTCAGCCGTATGTCAGTGCAGTGGGTGGTTGGCTAAACTTGGCGCAGATCTTTGAGGGTCTCCTCCCTCATCAGAGCTCTGAGAGCTTTCTCTGCCCTTGTAGGCCAATTATCCCTAGTGCTGTATTCTGCTTATTGTTTTAGTTGTTTTTAGTGCCTGCAAACACATTTCTGCAACTGCTGTCAGCAGGGATCCTGCATTTTTACACCCCTTAAGGCTTCTGCAAGTGATTTTATCATTTCCTCAATTTTGCTGTCCATTTCTCTTTGTGGTTCTGTTTGTACATCTGTCTACATCAGTTTGCAGAGTCAAATTAGGTATTTCAAAAACTGAGCAACTCGCGTCTGATAATTTCCTGCGTAAATTGTGCAGTGTTACACTAAATGTCATATTAACCATGAATATCTGGAGTGCTATCATAATCATTGTTATGAGGGTTAGCGTATTAGAGAACAGACATTGCTGCAAGACTTTAGGTAAACTACCCAGCTGAACATAACAGAACATAACATGAACATAACAGAATCCTGATTTTGATAAATAAATTTTCTGTAAGTTTTCATTTGGAAGAGGAAAAAAAAAAAACCACACAAAAAAATATGGTGTTTACCAGCCCAATTTCCATCTAACTGAAACCCTAACCTGTAGATGACAGATTAAGGAGAGTAGATAAAATAGAGACTCTTGCTCTAGTTTAGATGATATTCTTTGCTCACAGGTGGCAAAATACATGCATTGTTACCAGTGGGTCCTCCCCTAGCACATGATGTGGTAGGAAGTACTTTTCTGCTTTCAGTTACTTTGTGTTTCACAAGAGGTAAAAGAGATTTTGCACGACATCTGAAGGAAACCAGAACTTTTATTAGTAAATCAGTGACCCTCTGTACCTCTAAAAATCAAATTATAGTTGTGAAGTTCTGGACTGCTGAGCTCCTCTGAATTTACCCCAGCCTTCTGAAGGGAAATATTGCTGTATTTTGCTTCCCACATTTCTTAGGTTTAAGAAAAAGGCAAAAAAAAAAGGCAAAAAGCCCTCTATGTTTCTAGTAGTGCTCAGCTAAAGTTGCAGTTTCACTCTGCATGGAATTGAAACTCGTATGCTCTTGGCTGTGTGACAGCAAGCCTTCCTAATATGAATTAAAAGAAACCAAACCAGCCTTAGCCCAAAAGAAAAGGTAAAGTGTCAGTACAACTATTAGAATTTCCAAAGTTTGTAGGTATAGACTCCAAGGAAGATCTCCAAAGGCACCGAGCACCTGTCAAGAATTACAGGGTTGGGTGATGGGCCACTGTGCTTTAGAAAACCTACTTACAATCTAAGTAGGCATTAAGGATCTCATGTTCAAGCATAATGTATCACAGACGTGGTTAGGTGCTTGAAGAAATCAACTTTCACAATCCAGTGTGGGCCAAGTTATTCTCTTATTCACAATGAATTAAGCAAATTTGCTTTTTAATAAGGTGAATAACTGAATGAAAGCTATATTTCTCTTCTGGTGGTACACAATCTAGGAGACATTCACAGTAGAATAGCTAGCATAGGGTGTTTGCAATTAAGGTTTTCCTCCTACCAGAAATGCATTGAATGGCCTTGCAGAAGGCAGCAAGGATTTTAGTGAGATGTCTGCTTTAGTTATGATAACCCACAATGAAAACCTCAGTGCCTCTTGTGTGAAAAGTAAATTCCAGTTACCAATAAATAGCAGAGGAATTGTACTTTATTTGGGTACTTCTAGTAATCAGGCACAAAGGTGAGCAATATAGTCCTGAGCCTATCATTAATTAATGAGCCCTTTCCTAGGCCTTAATTAAAATGGTAATAATGCTGTACACTTTCTTGGTTTTCTTTATGTCTGTAAGACTCTGCCACTAAAACCAGGGAATTTTAAAGTATGATTGCAAATTTTTTCTGTGTTCATTTTTCAGGTTCCAGTCTTCCAAAACGATCCAGTCTTCCTTGGCTCCATCACAGTCAGAGAAATTATGAGCTGCTACTTAAAATATAAAGAAAAATACATAGGGAAAGAAGATATAAAAATCTCCAACCACCCCATCTAATAAATATCATAACCATTCAACTACTCTGTCCTGCTAAGCATAAGAACTTCTAAGAAAGAAGCTCTCAGACACTGTGTTCCATGAAAAGCTGGACTGTCACCATCTGAAGCCTAGCAGTGTCATTATTAACTTGGTCCCTTCTATGCTCTCCCACAAAGTTTTAATTTCTTTTGTACACTGTTTCCTATGCCCTTACCACTACCCTTTTTTTCCTGGTTTATTTTGGTTCCCTTCCCCCAGAGTCCCTTTCACTTAATAGACATTTATTCCGCAGAGTATTCAGCTTAAGAGATCTGTCCCAGTTCTTGAAGTTACAAAAGAAAGAAACACCACATTATATTTATGAAAATTACCAAATTTTCAAATTTGAAACACTGTTAGTAGAAATTAATAATTTCTGTCTCTCTGTGCAGTTTACATTAAAAAAATTGGGGGCAGGAAAGAAGGAACTTGAGCTTCTGCAAATCTTAGTTGTCTGAAGTGAATGTTACCCTTACGTAGCATACTAGTGTCCTAGCTGACTGATCTCATGCTGTGTCCCCAAATATTTTGCAATTGTCTTCCTTTGGGGCTTCCTGTGGCTTGGATGTTCATCTTTCTGGAGCAGATTTTATTATAGTTCTTTATGGTATAACACTGTAGGTAGGTAAAATACACAGTTTGAAATTTAAACCGTGTTCAAGTGTAGCAAAGAAGAGAGCAAATTGCAACATGAGACCAAAACGCACATGGATGCATGAGTCATGTGAGAAGTTGTAGGAAAATGACAAAAAAAAGTACTCAGTTATTTTTATGGGGCGTGGAGGAGTAAATGAAGTACTGTTGTTTTAATTTGAACTACAAATGTTTGAGGAAGTAGGTTGCAGCAGTTGTTTCACATTTAATTGTTTTTTCAAGTTGCAGTCCAGCTGGAGAGTAGTGATAGCGATTAGAGCTGTTGTCTTGAGTGAGTTATGTCACGTTACACTCTTCTCTGCACCTGAGCTGAACCAGTGGGGACCTCTTTTATGCTGTTTTTTTCCTGCTTCGATTTACAGTCTCCTCCAGTGACAAATCTGCCAGATCTGAAGCACACAGAAAATGGTAGGTTAAACTTTCATTTTAAATTTGCTTTTAAACCTTTTTGACTGGAACTGTTGTGGAAAGCCAACAAGACCATATTCTGCTTTTCTGCTTTCTAAATATTCCAATTTACTATTGTAGCTAGAAGCTGCAATACATAATGCGAGGAAAGGAAAGCATTTATTTGAGCCTAAATGGCTACTATTTAATTGTACTGCTGTGCTACACAATGAGTATAATAATGTCTTTTCTAACTGCTGTATCTTCTGAGGTGCTCTTTTTTCTCTAGCTTTTTCCTCTGTCACCATTTAAAGTACATATGGAACACCTACAGAAAAAAAAAGAATACTTCAGAAACATTGAACTGTATTGTATTTGAATACCCTAAATCAGTATGGGTTCATGCATATGCTGGTTAATATCAACAAATTAGTACTTGGTTTACATCTTGCAAAGCCAAATGTTCATGTGTATACTCTAGCTGAGCTTTCAAACTAGCAAAGACATTGCACAAGTCAGTGTTTCTTGTTTCTTCTAATTAAAACAATCTTTTTTTATTTGTTCTTGTACTGTAACAGACAGTGTTACACATGCAGATAGATAGACACAGCACCAGAATTTAGCAGTTTACAGTTAAGACAGCTAATGCATTAAAAAGGTATCAGGAAACAAAGTTATACAAAGAAATGAAGCACAAAGATGGTAGGAGATAGGCTGGCTCTGCAACAACACTTAGGTTCTTAAAAATACTGCAATATGTAAGAGCTGAAAATGTGAGCATTCTGAACATCTCAAAAGGCATTTTTTTGACTTCTTAAGAAACACACAAATATATTCATGTAGACATTTAAGGCCCAGATTCATTGCAGTTAATTTTAGGCACTTAAACCTGCAGTGTTAGTCTCTGTTCGGTGTGCAGTCGGGTAGACTTCCATCTTCAGAGCTGAGCAGTGCCTGCAGGGCCTCCCTTGCATCTCTTCTGCTCTCTCTTGAATGTCAGTACAGCCCAGTTTGATGTCAATGAATTGAGGAACTTGGGTAAGTGCCTAAAATTAGATGCCTGAGTGCAGTGGCCAGTATGAGTATGTAAAAAGTTTGTGTCAATCTCACGTTGTCCAGCTCCTACTCTAGTGCTTGGCCAGAGGGTCTTAATTTGGTTTAGAGAATCTTTAAAGGTTGATGCTAATTAACTTTTCCTCAAGAGCAGCAAATCTGTAGTTTGACCCCCAGTTAGCAGCAGATGTTTTCCTTCCTTCTTTTAAAGGAAGATAGGCTGCTGGAGTTTGAACTGTGGCAGTTGTCAGTATCTTCTTTCATGGCTGCATGTACTGTGTTCGTGGCTGGTGAGGGTCAGCACTTCATGGTCTGCTGTGGCATGCATGGGTGGATAAAAATAAATGGCATCCATGAGATAGAGCAACATACCCTGCAGTGCAGATCTCCATGGTTTCTTTGCCACCTCTCTGCTGTGCACCATGGGCACCTGCCTTGGCCAATGACCTTGGCTCCTGGAGTACATTGATCTGGTAAAGCAAGAAATGGAAGTAAGTGAGAGCTGGGGTACCAAGGGCCATTCAGTTAGGATAAGAACTCTTTGGTTTTCATCAATCTAATAAAGTCTTTTACATGCATTATATAGTGTGTCCTTTGAAAAAGAAGAAAGGCAAAATATTTACAAGAACATACTCAGATTTTTCTTCAGCAGTGTTCAAAGACAGACCATGAGTTTTCCATTCTAACTGATATCAATGGTAGAGGCCTTCCTTCTCCCTCCCATATGCCTGCCCATATAATACGGGTAAAAAAAAAAGAGTTCCAAGAAAAAAAGCTAGGGTGGCAGGAGGGAATGAATGTGCTTTACCTTCTCCAAATTGGCTCACCACTTACTCTGATTATCCTTATTCACCATATTCATCCAAGTGCTTGTCAATACTAGGAAATCAGAGAAGTTCATCATCCTCTAAACTTGATTGATTAGACCATACTGAAGACACTGGTGAACTGTCTTACCCAGTAACCTCTGTCTGGGTGAGTTATTTTCATTCTTAACAAATGAGTCCACGAGGGCTGAAAACAATTACATATGAATTTACAGTCATGGCCAGGTTATTCCAGGTCAGCTTTCCTTGGAATGATAGTCATGGCTGCCAGCTGGGACATTTACCTACACTGCTTTTTTTTTTCATGAAAATCAGCTGAAAAGAAGAAACCACCATAGCACTTCCTGGCAATGGGAAACTGTGGTAGAAGAAAGGCTGTGGTGTAACACAGTAGTAGGTTACACTGAATTTGAGGTCTGCAGTGGATTTTTACTTTTTTCCTTCTGCAATTCAAAAGCTGACTGAACAAATCCCCAGGGTGACTCCCCTTGGCTGTTAAATCCAGATAGCAGAATTGGGGTGCTGTGTGAGACTTGATCTGGGTTCTCTACCATCTACTGCCCTGCTAGTCCCCAGAGTACACCTCCAGATACACAGATACATAGGTAGATTTAGCACAGTAACCTCAGCTAATGCACGCAACAGAAGCCTCAATCTCTGCGTCACTTGCAAGGCATGTCTTAGACAAAACTCACCAGGGTTTTCACATGCTGTTTCAGAGGGTCTTTATATATTTTTGTGTCCCAGCTAAATAGAAAAAAAAACACTTTTACACATGTCTTGAATGCTTTTCCTAATCACCTGATTTTCAGCTGCTTAACTGGGTATTTACATTTAGTCAATCTTATTACAAGCATAACTAATCCTGGTTGTTTAAGAGCACTCTGTGTACCATGCATCTTCCAGGCCTTCTACACTGAGTTTTCCAGGGAGAAAACATGATGTTCATTATTGTGGGGTTTTTGTCTTTAAATCTCTTGACCAGCACCAGACACAGGCAGTTAAGGCTGTGCAACAGAAAAATAGTCATGGCCCCTTTGCCTGTGCTAGACAAGCCATGGCAGGAAGCCTGCTTGCCTGGCTGGCTGCCTCTGGCCAGAGGGATGGGGTTTCTTTGACAGTGACTGTTACTGAGGAAGTAACTATTAAGTTGTGAAAAGCTTATTGCTCTTCCCCTAAAGACAGAAATCTATAAAACAGGCAAGACCACAAAGACTTCACAGATAGAGGGCATATTTTGGAAGGCTCTTTAAATGCCTGTAGAACTTTGCCTCTATTTGTTTACTGCTTATTACTCTTTTATGGGACATAATCAATCTTAAGTCCATGAAAATCTTTCATTTTTACATTTGCATCGCTACAGTGCTCTCTTGGAGCTCTGTCCTTATTGGCCCGTGAAAATGCAAAGGGGTATTAAACCATATAGAAGTGTAGCCACTGACTGGCTTAAGTTGACCATCTATCCATTCTACTACATATTAGAGGAAGAATCCCTATGATAATGTGAAATTTGAAATAGGCACACACCTGTTAGTATGGTTTTACATGATTTTCACATGCTTCAAAAACCTAATTTTGCTTGTTTATGCTATTATACCGTGGCAAACTGATGGATGTTTAACACCTTTAAAGAAGAAAGTTCACAGAGACATAGCCTTTAATCACCTGCCTTGTCATTTTTTTCAGTAATTTTTTTTTACGATTCATTATTTAAAGAGTGATAGTTATCTTAACACTCTTGATACTCAGTAATAAGAAAGTAAAGAAAGCATTTGAGGAAATACTAACATATGCCTCCCCCAAATTTATAATCCTCCCTATACATCCAATTCTAGCCAGTGTGAGAGACAGGACCGCAGGCTAGCTGTGTATTTTGTCTGACCAAGCACTTGCTTGACCTAATGTCCTATGACATGCTCTCATCACATTAAATTAATTCTTCCCTATTTCCTTATTTTAAGGTACCTCATGCAAAGATGTCAAATGTGCTGCCGTTTGTCTTGCTCTTCCCATTTCCGATGCTGCTGTCAGGAACTTGGTTTCCCAAAAGTTTACCCTGTGATGTTAATACCTTCGAAGGTACTGTGACAGTGGACTGCACCAATCGGCGTCTCCTGGAAGTCCCCAGAGGAATCCCTGCAAATGCTACCAACCTTACCTTAAGTATTAACCACATCCCCCATATCAATCCGGCATCCTTTGCCCATCTTGTAAACCTTGTGGAGATTGACTTCAGGTGCAACTGTGTGCCTGTCAGAATGGGGCCCAAAGACCATGTGTGCACCAAACACCCGAAGATCGAGAATGGCAGTTTTGCTGCCCTGACCAGATTGAAGTCATTGTATTTGGATGCAAACCAGCTGTGGGAAATACCCTGGGGTCTTCCTACTACTTTAAGTCTGCTGAGCCTGGAAGCAAACCATATCTCTTCTATCCAAAAAGCCAATTTGTCAGAGCTAGGAAACATAGAAGTGTTGTATCTGGGACAGAACTGTTACTACCGTAATCCATGCAATGTTTCATTTGAAATTGAAAAAACAGCCTTTCTGGAGCTGAAAAAATTAACAATACTATCCCTGAAGTCTAACAACTTAACTCATATTCCTCCCAATTTGCCATCTACATTAAAGGAATTATATATTTACAATAACAAGATTCAAGTGATTCAAGAACATGACTTGAGTACCCTTCACAACCTAGAAATTCTTGATTTAAGTGGTAACTGCCCACGCTGCTATAATGCCCCATATCCTTGTATTCCCTGCCCCAAGAGCACAATTGAGATACATTCAAAGGCCTTTTATTCCTTGAAAAATTTAAGAACTTTGCGACTTCACAGTAACTCTATTCAGAGCATACCCAGTAGCTGGTTTAAAAACTTAAGGAATCTCAAACAGCTTGACCTCTCCCAAAATTTCCTCATAAAGGAGATTGGAGATGCTCAGTTTCTGAAGTTTATCCCCAGCCTTGTAGAGCTTGACCTGTCCTTTAATTTTGAACTGAAGACGTATTCTCCAACCTTGAATTTGTCTAAGTATTTTTCTTCCCTCTCTAACCTGGAAACTCTGAGGCTCAGGGGTTATGTCTTCAAAGAACTGAGAGAAGGAAATCTAGATCCATTGCTCAGTCTTAGAAATCTAACAGTTTTGGATCTTGGGACTAATTTTATTAAAGTTGCTGACCTGAGTGTGTTCAAAAAATTCCCATCTCTTAAACTCATAGACCTCTCAGTGAATAAAATTTCTCCTTCTTCAGGTGAAAGCAACTTTTATGGGTTTTGCTCTAATCCTAGGATTTCAGTAGAGCAATACAACAGGCAAGTATTAGAGGAAATGCATTATTTCAAGTACGATGAGTACGGGCGAAGTTGCAGGTCCAAAGACAAAGAGGCTGCTTCCTACGAATCTTCAGTCAAAAAAGACTGCCTGAAATATGGAGAAACTCTGGATTTAAGCAGAAACAACGTATTTTTTATTAACCCCTTAGACTTCCAGGGCCTTAGTTACCTCCGATGCCTCAACTTGTCAGGTAATGCAATAAGTCAGACTTTAAATGGAAGTGAATTCTCCTACTTGTCTGGATTAAAATACCTGGATTTTTCTAACAACAGGATTGACTTGCTATACTCAACTGCTTTCAAGGAGTTAAAACTTCTAGAAATTCTAGACTTAAGCAATAACAAACATTATTTTCTGGCAGAAGGTGTCACTCACATGCTTAGTTTTATGAAAAACTTGGCCCATCTGAAGAAGCTGATGATGAATGAGAATGAAATTTCTACCTCTACTAACACAGGAATGGAAAGTCAGTCTCTTCAAATTCTAGAATTCAGAGGAAATCGTTTAGATGTTTTATGGATGGATGGGAATGCTAGATACTTGTCATTCTTCAAGAACCTGACTGGCCTGGAAGAACTGGATATTTCCTTCAACTCTCTTAGTTTTTTGCCTTATGGTGTTTTTGAAGCTATGCCTCCAGAACTCAAAATCCTCAATTTAACTAACAACCGGATGAAGAGTTTCAAATGGGAAAACCTGCACCATCTGAAAAAACTAGAAACTCTGGACCTCAGTAATAACCTTCTGGCTACTGTTCCCCAAGAACTGTCCAATTGCTCTTCAACAGTCCAAAACCTGATTCTCCGAAACAATCACATTCAACGGCTGAGCAAACATTTTCTCAGAGGTGCCTTTAAATTGAAATACTTGGACCTCAGCTCAAACAAGATCCAAATAATTAAGAAATCTAGCTTCCCTGAAAATGTCATTAACAACCTGAAGATGCTGCTGTTGCATGGCAATCCTTTCAAGTGTAACTGTGATGCTGTGTGGTTTGTTTGGTGGATCAATCAGACTCATGTGACTATTCCTCTTCTGGCCACAGATGTGACCTGTGCTGGCCCAGGAGCACATAAAGGAAAGAGCGTCGTTTTCTTGGATCTGTATACCTGTGAGCTGGACACCTCATATTTGATCCTGTATGCTCTGTCAGCTTCAACTGTCCTAGGCTTTATGGTGTTCACAGTGATGAGCCATCTCTATTTCTGGGATGTGTGGTATAGTTATCATTACTGCACTGCCAAGTGGAAGGGCTATCGCCATTTACCTTCACCAGATGCTTGCTATGATGCCTTTATTGCCTATGACAATGAAGATCCAGCTGTGAATGAATGGGTGATGGAAGAACTGGTTGAAAGGCTGGAAGATCAAAGAGCCAGACAGTTCAACTTATGCCTAGAAGGAAGGGACTGGCTCCCAGGACAGCCAGTCTTTGACAACCTTTCCCAGAGCATTCAGCTGAGCAAAAAGACCATATTTGTACTGACCAACAAGTATATTAAAAGCGGCAACTTCAAGACAACATTTTACATGGCCCACCAGCGGCTTCTAGATGAAAAAATAGATGTCATTATCTTGATATTTCTTGAGAAGGTTTTGCAGAAGTCCAGGTATGTTCGTCTGAGGAAGAGGCTGTGCAGAAGTTCTGTCCTGGAATGGCCAACTAACCCTAGATCTCAGCCCTACTTCTGGCAGTGCCTGAAAAATGCAATAGCTATGAACAATACCCTGGCTTACAACAAGCTTCTCCAGGAAACTGTTTAGCTCTGCCCTTCCCTGTAAATATTATTATGATGCATGATGAGAAAAATATCCTAAACTTCATTTGGAGAAGCTATCAAAGTGTAGAGGATAAATGTTAATTGTGATATTGTACCCCAAAAAGAAACGCACAATTAGTCCCAAATGATAGTTCACTTGTTTTGCTATGACAAGACAGAACAGAAACTGTTGCCAGCATGGATGTTTAGCTGATATTCACCCTGCTTGGCACTGACTGCTGCACAACAAGAGAAGATGCACTACCTACTGGAAGTCCCTGGTTTAGAACAGAATCACCACTTCCAAATTTCAGTTCACTGGAGGCCTCCAGCACGACCTGTGGTTGGGTCAGATGTGGGTGAGACACTTGCTCAGCTTATCCTAGTACACAGATTGCCAGGAGGAGTTAGGCTGTGCCTGAAGCTGCTGCTGTTCAGATCTCTGTTGGAGTAAATTTAGTTTTAACAGAAAATTATAGTTTCTGTATTTGGTGTATTAATGGAAAACAAGAAAAGTATCTGCTGACACATTTGTCTCAGAAAATACCTCAAGCAGAGCTCATATTTTAATTTTAGGAGTTGGGAAAATCTAAGAATGATTATCTTTTCATCTCAGGCTTACAGCTGCCAAGCCTACCGCTTCTGAGGGGACAACAGCCCTAATCACTGGGGAGAGGAAGTTCAGGTGGGACTGCCGTCAGGGGCTTGGGTTGTGGTATGGGAGCTCTCCCTCTGTTGTGTTGTCCAAAAGCTCACTAGCCTGAAGAAACTCTGAAGAACATGTATGAGCTAAAATGGGAAGCTATGTGAGAAACAAGCTCAAAAGGGTTTGCAGGCTGTAGGCTGGAAGGAGTTACAAGGTAAAGGGAGTCCTTGTGCATGGAGCTGCTGTGTGGGAGCAAGAAGGGGGAGCAGGACAGCACAGGCTAAAGAAGAGGCACAAGGCAGGTGAAGAGAATCAAGTAAAACAGAGGAAGTGGTAAGTGACGAATGTAAAGAAAGAAAAGAGAAAGAAGATGTGGAAATAATGGAGGAAAACACAGCTAAACTAGGGCATGACAGCAGTTAAATTAAGCATTTACTACTAATTTCCAAGTAATCTCTTCATTCTGCCTTTCACCTGCTTCCTTGGCTGCTGGCTGAGCTGGCTCCTCCCTGAGGACTAAGGTCTCCTCTCACATGCTGTGCTATTAGCTTTAGGAGCTCCGCTTCCCTGTTTCCACCCAGGTCCTGTGTTACAGCCCCTTGTATATTAACTGGGATGGTGCTTGCAGGTCCAGCCAGGGCTGGGGCCTGGAGCCATGCTAAAGTGGCTGACTCCCCTCCATCTGTTCAGACCTTCTCCAGAACAAAACACAGTCGCTCAAAGTGCAAAACATGTACAAGGAAAGCACCCATCCCACTGTTTGTTTGTGCTATGTCCTTCAGAGCAGCCTCGGGCCCTCCTTCACCTCCTTGTTCCCTAGGCAGGCCCCTCTCCCTCAGCAGTATCTGGGGCACCACTAAAAACCTTAGCTGGGAATGGGTCTGACTTTAGAGATGCATCCTGAAAAAGGGAAGAAACACTGCTCAGAAATACAAACACTTGGGCCTGTTCCCCACCCCAGTTCACAGCAGAACCTCCTCAAACATATGACAGTAATACTTCAGCTGAAGCCTAAATCTCTGTGCATGGCACAGGCAGGCTCTCAGCTTGCTGTGATGATTGCTCTCTGTTTCAGAAGGGCAGCATGCTCTGACCTTGCTGGGTGCTCCTGTCCACAGCACAGCCTAGGCAGCTTGTCCCCTCTCTCAAAGCATTTTTTCTTTCCTCACAACCAGTCTTGGTGACAGTTCTAACTCTTAGGGAACCGACACTCTTAACTGCTTTGAACCTGCTTATTTCAGCTGCCTCCTGTGTCTCCTCACCTACCAGTTCTGCCTGGTCCTTTCTTTAAATATCCCCTTTTTTATTTAATGGTAGGCAACCTGACAGACAAGAACACAAAAAGAAACCAAACCTCACATAATATTATTACAGATAACAAGTTTTCTTTCCTCTAAAATTGTCACAGCATTTTTATTGATTAAATAAGAAGTAGGTAACTTTGGAGGGCCTGCTTGAAAAAAAGTGAGGTTTATGGAAATAATAATATACGTTTTTATAATGCATCTTTCTGATGGTTCTGCTAGTAAGCCTAAATAATCTGTATCTCTAAGTATGATAACATGAGCTGTAATATGATTCTCTTCATAAGGTAATGTTTGAAATAAGAACCTCTGCTCCTCAGTTACTCCTACACCATCTTCCCCTACCTCCCCACACAATGTCTACCCAGATCAGATCCTCTTTCTCAGCCTAGTTGATTAGGGCAGGGAGACAATGTCACCTGGGCTTTCCAAGCTTGAAGAGAGAAGTACTTCCTCCTCTTCCATTGAGAAGCTTCCAAAGGACGGGTATAGCATGACTAGCAATGCACATATATATACATATACAAAAGTCCGAGCTTACAGTAGGGAGAACACCTTATGCATGCTGCAGCACAAGACTGCAGAGGCCAGGTGTGCTGCACCAACACTTTGCATCAAAGACACCAAATGATGCTGGGGTCTGCAGTGGGAAACGAGCAATCTGCTGGCATGGCACTGCCCACTGCCAAGGCCAACACTCTTGGCAAGCACCTGAGTCAGCAGGAAAAGAGCCCATGGCTGTTTTCATGTGATAAAATCCTTCCTGATATCTGCACCCTTGCCTTGCTAAAACATGGACAGAGGAATAAGGAGAGATGAAGGAAGACTGAAACACCAAGTTTTCTTTTTTTAGCTAGAGAAGACAATTCCCACCTACTGCTCACCCTGGTTTGTGTCCTATTGACACCCCAGAGTAGTTACCATGCTGGAGGGAGGAGGTATCAGGTATCAACCCAACTACCTGAGGCATGCCTACATGCTCTCTGAAATGCTTCAGGGTATGCTAGAAGGCGGTTGCATTCTATCCTGGACCATGTGTGTTTTGCAGATTAAAGATTATATTTATACCCATAGAACAAGTGGACCTGGGGCTTTTTTTTTTTTTTTTTTTTGATAGTTTCATAGACTCGTAGAATAGTTAGGGTTGGAAAGGACCTTAAGATCATCAAGTTCCAGCCCCCTGCCATGTGCAGGGACACCTTGCACTAAACCATGTCACCCAAGACACGGCATCATGTGCATTCCCTTGTTAGCCCCTGCAGAACTGTGAAGCAGTTCTGGGTTGGGGATGTCAGATTTTAAGGGAAGCCCCTTGTTTTTGACTGTATCTTTTTTTTGTTACTAGCTCCCAGCTCCCGGGATCACTGCCCTCCTCCTTTTCTGTGTGCGCTATGAGGGACGCTTGAGGCCCCTGCCCAGCCTGGGCCCGGAGCAAGCAGTCCAGCTCCCTCAGCTTCCCTGACACCTTTCAGCTACTGACAGTGCCCCGCAGCTCAGCCGCCAGTGCACGAGGACCTCCACCACTGCGGACCGAGCGCAGCCCTGCCCATTGTGCACCCTCGCCTCACGAGACCAGTGCAGGCTCTTTCAGCACCCCGAGCTCCACGCTGCAGCCTCCCCTCTCATCGGCTCTGCCTGGTGCCGACGCTGCCACCACCGAGGCAGCCAAGAGCAGAGCTCCCAGACCAGGCCCTGGCCCTGAAGAAAGCACTCCCCACTCCACTCGCGCTGTCTGCCCCGGCGGCCGCCCCACGCGCTGTTACCACGCCCCCTGGGGCGGGCTTTCCCCGCTCAGGGCGGGGCCGTCCCTCCGGGCTCCGCCCCCCCCTGCGAGTCCCCGCCCGCCTCAGCGGAGCTGCCGGCTCCTGGGCAAGGCCCGGCGAGGGCTCGAGGCTCCCTGGGCGGCTCTCGCCGCTCGGAGCTGAGGCTCCTGGGCGCGGGGTTTCCCCTCGCTCCGGTGCTGAAGGCGCCTCTCTGGAGCTGCCCAGCTCGGGAAATGACGAGGTTCATACATAATAAAACAGAGCAAGCACTTCGTTGCTGGGCACAAGCTCAATCTAAGTCTTTCTTGAAGAGGAAAAATGATCTGAATTTAGATTAGTTGGGTTTATGGACATGAAATGCCTTAAATGGGCACGCCCTCCATTTGTCACGGAATCTTTTGTTATAGTTAACACCACCAAAAAGTTATTTGATAGATTCAAACTAATAATTTGTTGCTTTAACTGTATGACAATTTTAACTTTGGAGGTAGCTTGCCTGGTTGGTGTGGCAGTGTCTGAATTTACAAAACAATGAAGAATCATGAGGTTTCTACACCTCAGGGTTTCATGATGGTATAGCTTATGATCAGATATCTACCTAAAAGTAGACATCTACAGCTGTATTAATAGGTCTGCATCATTCTCCCTTCAGAGGTGAGATGATAGAGACATTTTGTGAATATCAGTATCCTAGCACTTGAGATTTTTAGATGGGTCAGAGTAATTGCAACCCAAAAGTGGGATTTCTTCCCATCTGCTGCTAAGAGTTCATTCCCGTGGTGACCAGCTCAGATGTAGGTGTCTGCACTCAAATACTTTCAGTTAGGTGAGGTGACAGTCAGGGGCAACTTGGTTTTGAATAACTGTGTCATGTTTACATCAAAATAACTAAAGCGCTACAACACCAAAGCACCATAAGACCAATGCTGTTCTTCATTGGTTGCTGTTTCCTTACAGAAATTGTACCAAATGTACAATGGCTAGACTTGTTATTTAGTCTACGTGGCTTGGAAAGACCACACATGGAGTGAAAGAAGGAGGAAGAACAGAAAAGAAAAGGAATATTGGTGAATGTATCAAGTTTTGACAGTTCTCATGGAATCGACAGGAAATCCCGTTGTTTACATTACTATCATTATTGTACCACAAGAAGAATAATCAATTAAAACTGGCAAGAAACATTATTACTTACAACACAGGTTTATATGAATATAAAGTCTTCTTTTGTCTCTTTGATCCCTCTGTTTTTAAGAACTGACATATAAGGAACTTGCAGGTGTTTCCTTGTGAAAATAATTTATGTTAGAAGGGACCTCTGGAGGTCAGAGCAGGTCTAATTTCAACATAGCCTTAGCTTGCTTAGATTCATGTTCTGCAAAAAAAATCGGGGTGCTATGTAGCAAACATGACATCCTGTAAAGGAACTTCATGACAGCATCTTCAAAAAAACTCTGTGAAGATCACAAGCCCTTGGTCTGTAGTAGATCTTGGGGCAATGGGCCTTTTTGTTTTCTCAGTTTTGTTCTGAAAGTATCTGCCAACAAAAATAAACTCTGTGATGGGCTGTTCATCTGAAAAAAGTCAGCCACAGGCCAAGTCTCTCCATTTACTCTGAATGAGATATTCAGGTCATTTAGGTTATAACTCTCCTCAGTTCCCTATGGAGGAGCTCAACTTCATTGAGTATGAATGTAAGTTAGCCTCCTAATTTGAGAGTATAAATTGTGTGTCTAAATGCAAATGACATAAACATTAATCCACCAAT